GCAGACACTTAACCGACTGAGCCACCCAGGCGGCCCTATTTATTTAAGATTTTAAGTAATCTCTACATCCAACCTGGAGTTCAAACCCATAACCCCAAGATTAAGAGTCATACTCCACTGACTGAGCCAGCCAGGTGCCCCCCCCAACTAACATACATTTAATCTGTTTATCTTCCTGTCTGTTCTCCTCTTTGTTGTCTATTTTGTCCACTGAATTGTCTATTTTGTTTGCTGTATCTCCAGCAACTACAACAGTATCTGACATATATATATATCAGCAAATATTTATTGTTGAATAAATGAACAAACCTATTACTATTCCTATTTAACAGATGGGAAAACCAAGATTTAGAGAGGTTAACAACCTCACCCAAATTCACACAAATAAGTAGCAGAACCAAGGCTTTAATCCAGCTCTCTTACACCAAATTCCATACTCTTGGCCACTCCACTATACTACCTCCACAATATGTCCATGTTATTGAATACTGTGTCACTAAATACGAAGAAATCCATGACAAACTGACAACAATCAAGTTGCGAACTAACATGTGAGGTATGATCCATTCTTGTTTTGAGAAACAAAACCTATTTATGTTTACGTTACGTTGACCTGTATGATTTTTTTTTTTAAATGTAGGCTCCCTGCCCAGTGTGGAGTCCAACACGGGGCTTAACTCACAACCTTGAGATCAAGATCTGAGCTGAGATGGAGAATCAGACAGAAGCTTAACAACCTGAACCACCCAGGGGTCCCATGAAATGATTTTTTTTAAAAATGTGCGTGACCAAGGTTAAAAAGCTAGAAAGTAAATGGCATACAGGCACGTCACAGTCTGGACTCGGCCCACATATCCAGTCACTCCCAAACTTTCACTTCACACACTCCAGAAAAGTAAAACTGCTCACAGATCCCCCAACATGCTGATTCCCTCTCCATGCTTCTAAACAGGAGGCAGTAGAGTCTGTCAGTTAAAAGCCAGAACACTGGAATCAGTCAGGCCTGGATTTAAATCCCAGTTCCACCTCTTACTAGCTAGCTGTGTGATCCTGAGCAAATTAAAATCTCTTAAGTCTGTTTTTTCATTTATAAAATGGAGATCATAATGTTAGAGAGGATTAAATGAGGCAACACATGTAAAGTGCTTCACCTAGTTTCTGGCATATAATGAACAACTAATATTAGCAATTATTATTACTGGCTCATGCTGTTCCCTTCCTCCCTTCCCCCATTTAACCTGAATTCCTTCACATCCTTTAAAAATCCGGTTTAAAAGTGACATCCTCAAAACCTTCTCTGCCTTTCTTTCCTCCCAGACAGTTAAAGGCTCTTTCTTTAGCGCAATCTGTTTCTTACATACTTTCACTGTGATTTCTTTTTTTTTTTTAAGATTGTATTTACTTGACAGAGAGACACACAGCGAGAGAGGGAACACAAGCAAGGGGAGTGGGAGAGGGGACGCAGGCTTCCCGCTGAGCAGGGAGCCTGATGCGGGGCTCGATTCCAGGACCCTGGGACCATGACCTGAGCCGAAGGCAGCCTCCCAACGACTGAGCCACCCAGGCGCCCCTTCACTGTGATTTCTTTAAGTGTCTTTCTCCCCTACTGAGCTACGAAATTCTTCAAACCATTATCAATTCCTCATTCACCCCAAAATTCCTGGTACTGAAAAGTACCTAACACTCAGTAAAGTATCCCACTTCCTCTCCTATCCCCTAATGAGCATTAATTGCTTCTCATCAGGTAGCATAATTGTTTTATGAATAAAACTGTCACCTTAACGGTGAACACTGAATTTAAAGTTTTCTTCTAACCATCCACACTGTTCATTCAGAGAGGGCTTTTAATAAATTTTTAACTACCTTCAAGGGACACTCATGCTCCTCCTACCTAACCCATCTCTGGACTGAGCTCAGACCAGAAAGGCAGCCCTGACTCCCCAGGGACTCACATTTCAGAGGGATATCTCTCTCATGTACAACGGTGAAGGGCAGCTTCTCCTGGTCGTCCAATGGCACTGATTCTCGGGTAAACACGACGGTGATGGGTACCGTGAGCCGCAGCTAGGGTAAGGAGCATCAGGGCCATCAGCTGAGTCTCCACCTTGCCAGCGGGCTGTCCCCTGGCCTTCTCCCACCGAGGACTCACCTGCAGGGCATTCAGCCCACTGATCTGGGAGTAAGGCAACGGGGCCCGGTAGGTCTCCGTGGTCTTCCACCAGAGCGGCAACCCCAACAGGATGGCCACCGCAGCGAAGAAGAGAGCGGCCCGCTTGCCTCGGACCACCTCTGGGGGTACGGAGGTACCGACTTGAGGCGCTGGAAGTGGGCTTAAGTGCCCGCCCCACACCTGACGCGGAGGAGCCCCAGCAACCGGCACTCAGAGGCTCTCCGCCCGCGTTCATAGGAATCCCTGTGCGAGGGGGCCGCGCCTAAGTCTGAAGGGATCTTATCTGAAACGACCCCCCGACCCCCAGTCCGCGGGACCTCTAGCACACCACAATCCCCAAAGGCCGCATTCCTCCCTCTCAATACACGAGCCGCGGGCCCCGCCCGAATGCCACCGCACCTAGGTCTGTAGCAGCAGCCCCGGGAGCCGCCATGCTTGCTTCCGGTTGCTCTAGGCGCCCAAGGGCGGAGCTGCGCAAGGAGGGGGCGGGACCACGGCAGCGGTTGCAGCCAATCGCAAGCCGCACTCCAGGCGCGCGGAGAGGAAAAAGAGGTCGAGGGTAGGCGGGGTCCGCAAGGAGCCTGTCAGCCAGTTCGAAAGGAGATTGTCCTGCACCGTGGGCAGTCGAGGACGTGCACGGGTTTCAGCGTTGCTGGAAGACTCTTCGTTAGTCTCCCGCTTCCTCGTAGAACACACTCCTAGTCCCAGGGATAAAGAGTGCAAACTCTGCAGGCGTTAAATATTAGTTGGGCGACCACAGGCAGCTCTAAGTCTCAGTTTTCTCATCTGGAAAATGGAGATATTTACCAAAATGAGCTCAATCAGGGCACCTGGCTTGCCCAATCGGTAGAGTGCGGGAGGCTTGATCTAGGGTTCGTAAATTCGAGCCCCACGTTGGCTGTAGAAATTACTTGAAAAAATAAAATAGGGGCACCTGGGTGGCTCAATCGGTTAAGCATCTGCCTTTGGTTCGGGTCATGATCCGGGAGTCCCCAGGATGGAACCCCACATCGGGCTCCCTGTTCAGCGGGGAGTCGGCTTCTCCCTCTCCCTCTGCTCCTGCCCCCTGCTTGTGCGTGCTCTCTCTCTCATTCGCTCACTCTCTTTCTCTCAAATAAATAATCTTTAAAATAAAATAAAATAAGGTCATTCATGTAAAGATCCTGGCACAGAAAGCACCCAAATATCACCTATCGATGGCATCACTGTTTATCCTTATCATAGAGGTCCTCTTCTGGGCACCCTCTCCTCAAGCCTCAAATATGGAGGTGACAAGCTAGAAGTACCTTTTTAGCATATTTGGCTCACCAGTATTTTTTTAATTCATTTGAATTCATTTCCAACTTGTAAAAGTCTGAATACTTAAAATTTTTGAAAATTCATGAGCACAGACTCTGGATCCTGACCACTTAAGTTTAAATCCTGACTTCAGGTACCCTGGGTGGCTCAGTCGTTAAGCGTCTGCCTTCGGCTCGGGTCATGATCCTGGGGTCCTGGGATCGAGTCCCGCATCGGGCTCCCTGCTCAGCGGGAAGCCTGCTTCTCCCTCTCCCACTCCCCCTGCTTGTGTTCCTGCTCTCGCTCTCTCTGTCAAATAAATTAAAAAAAAAAAAAAATCTTTAAATCCTGACTTCATCACTTCACCTGAGTGATCTTGAGAATTAACCTCTCTGTGCCTGTTTCCTCATATTAAAATAGGGATAATAATAGTATCTACTTTATACAGTGTTGTAGTAAATGAGTTAGTAAATGTAGTGATTAGAATAGGGCCTGGCCTGCCAGGAACACATAGTAACTGCTATAGAGGTGCCTGGGTGGCTCAGCCAGTTCAGCATCTGACTCTTGGTTTCAGCTCAGGGCATGATCTCAGGGTTGTGGGATGGAGCCCTGCATCAGGCTCCACGCTCAATGGGGAGTCAGCTTGAGATTCTCTCTCTCCCTCTGCCCCTTACCCTGTTCAAGCGCTCTCTCCCTCTCTCTCAAATAAATAAATCTTTTTTTAAAAAAAGAAAGTACTGTATAAGTGTTATCTATTTTTGTTAATATAAGGGCAGGTCACCCTGGGCTTACATTCCCATATTGCAATAATTAGCTGGGTGGAGCACTACACAGAGCATGGCCTCCCCAGTTCACACAGAACACACCTAGCAGGTTCTCTCATCTTTTCATCCCCTCAGACAGACCCAGGTGTTTGATGTACCCCCACACCCCAGCCGAGTGGTCAAAGTTTAGCAGGAAACCTCACCAGGCCTATCCTTGCCCAGACCCTCAAATCGGCCTTCTCTGTGCCCTCATCTACCCCAAACGGAAATGGGCAATAGCCCCTGGCAACCTCCTAGATACCCTGATCCATCTGGCAGTCTTGAGCCTTGTGGCTTTTCCATGTTGGGCAGGAGCCCAGGTGCTGTTCCTGCAGTGCCCACCCCACACACCCAGCAGAATGTGTCAAGCCCCAGCAGGGTTCAACACAGTGGAGAAATGGGAAGACTCCCATCCCCTTACCCCAGTTTTGGCCTCTGTGCAAAAGCTGCTTTCAGGAATTGCACAAGTCTCGCCTTACTCCATCTTTCAGCTGCAGCCTAGCGCCTCTGAGGTGGCAGTCCCTGAAGGACATGCAACCCTCCATACTGCCCACACTCCCCAGCCTTGGACATCACCAGCAAGAGCCTGAGCTGGGAATGGTGATTGGGTGTGCCCCTCCCCCATAAACTTAAAGCTCAGTAAATCTCAAAACCTACCCCCACTCCCTCCACATTCAGAAGGCCCAGAGACAGTCAGTGGAAATCAGAAACTGAGGCGGGAATTTGATGTGTAAAACAGACAGACAAAGTAGCATGTTTTGCTACCATTTATTTGCTATGTGGTATGTACCCAAGGCATGAGTCATGTCTGGTGTCCTACTCTCTGATCCCAGGAGACAGGGCAGGCAAGGAAAGCCCAAGGAGAAGCTACCACATCATGGGGAAATTGTGGGGGCTGGCGGAGGCAGGGGGAAACCCAGGCATCCTGCTCTGACTTCTAGCAACTTCTTTTGCCCTCAGTCACAAGGGGCACCCCATCCTCCCATCCAATGGTCCCAGGTGCAGCAATGGGAGAGGGGAGGGGAGGGGAGGACAAGAAAAGGAAGATGACTCAGTGCTGGCTAGAGGCATCTCTGCTCTGCATGGCTATTTGGCCCTGGCCATAACTATAGGCGAAATAGGGTTCAGGTGGCCAGGCCAAGGGCTGCAGTGTGGAATGCGCACTCAGTAGGCATGGTTGGCAATGTAGAGGGACTGTGCTGCTGCTCCACCATCTTCCCCGCTGCCTTCATACTTGCCCTGGGCCGCAAGCCCATTCACCTGCAAGAGGGTGGGGGGTAGGAGGGAGGTGGGGTAAGCGGGCTGACACCGCCCACAGGCGCCAAACCCTGCCCAGGCTATAGTCTTTGGAGGCTGCCCACTGCCTAGCTATGCCCCTCTCCCACAACCACCACCTTTAGCTCCCGACCTCGGCCCGCTTGATGAACTCCTCAGTGGCAGCCCCAGCATTGTCTTGTTGCCCTCTCCAGGCATTGAGGGCAGAGGCCTGCAGGGCACGCCCATAGGAGAAGGTAAGGGCCCAGGGCCGAGGAAGGGGGCAGCGGTTGATAGCATTGAGGTTGAGCGATGCCTCCTCTTCACTCTGACCCCCAGACAGGAAAGTCACTCCTAGGGTAGAGAAGAGAAGACAAACTGATTGGTCAACTCCCTATTTTTCCAGGGTATGGGCCCCATGAAGGCCACAAGAACCTGAGAATGGGTCTTAGGGACAGGAGCAAGTTAGGAAGCAGGGTAGTACCTGGGACAGCTGGGGGCACAGTGCGACGCAGGGCAGTGACAGTTGCCATGGCGATCTCCTCTGGGCTATATTTAATGGGACAGGCATGGCCAGGGGTCACCATGTTGGGCTTGAGCAGGGTCCCCTCCAGGTACACGTGATGGTCACTCAGGGCCTTGTACACAGCAGCCAAGACCTGGAGATCAGAGGGGGTTTACTAAGGTTCTGGGCCCCTGCTCAGTGCTCCCTTTTTAGGGGAAGGTGGGCATGACTGTGAGAGTCAGTACAGGCTCAAACTCACAGGTGTGTTCTGGGACAGAGTAAACAGTGCTTGGGGAAAGTGCCTGCATCTGAGCCAGGGACGATGGGGAATAGGCTCCCCGCTCAGGCCACCCTTGCTGTAGGTGTCTGTGCCTAGGTGTGGACTCACCTTTTTTTTTTTTTTTAAAGATTTTATTGAGAGAGAGAGAATGAGAGACAGCACGAGAGGGAAGAGGGTCAGGGGAGAAGCAGACTCCCTGATGAGCAGGGAGCCCAATGTGGGACTCGATCCCGGGACTCCAGGACCATGACCTGAGCCGAAGGCAGTCGCTTAACCAACTGAGCCACCCAGGCGCCCTGGACTCACCTTCTCCGTAACATACTGACAACGTTTGAGGTCATGGTCTCCATCTGGCAGGATTTCAGGTTCCACAATAGGCACGATGCCATTCTGCAGGTAAGAGCAGAGTAGCTTGGGAGGGGCAGTAGGTAGGAGGGGAGTAAGCCCTTGTAACCCTCTCCCCACTAGGCACAGGGCACCCACAGGACCCCCTCACACAAACATACACACACCTGCTGGCAGATGCTGGCATAGCGGGCCAGCACGTTGGTATTCTCCAGAATGGCAAGGGCTGAGGGTGTGCGCTCACTGATTTTCAGCACGCAACGCCATTTGGCAAAGTTGGCGCCATCCTTCTTGTACTGGGCACAGCGTTCCGAGAGCCCATCCAGCCCTGCAGGCATAATGCCAGCCTCATCACTCAGCCCCTCTTGGCCAGCATCAACCATCCAACAACCCTGTGGTGTTCACCCACCCATCCTGTACCTTGAGTGGTGGTTTCTCCATCAGTCCCTGCTAGAGGCACTACACCCTTGTCAACCTGTAGGGGAAACACAGGCAGAGGGCTGAACCCAGGCAGGATTCCCCCTTGTCACCACACACACACACACACACACACACACACATACACACACACATCTATTTCCATGTTGGGGCCCCATCGAGGGCCAGTGGCTGCACCTTGATGCCCACGACAATGCCTTTATCCTGAATGGTACGAACGAAGGGAACACCATTATCGTCCTTCTGGTAGAGTGTCTCATGGAAGAAGATGACTCCTCCGATGCACTTCTTTACACGGTCATCAGCACTGAACAGGACCTGGCGGTACAACCGGCGGTTTTCCTCTGTGTTCTCCACGCCAATTTGGCTCAACCGCTTGGCCATGCTGCCTGGGGGCAAACAAAAGAGGGGTAGCAAGCTCACCCCCAGGACTCTCTGGCTACCTCTACCCCACCTAGCCACAGGTCCCCCCCACCTACCTACAGACTCATCCGCGGCCAGAATGCCTTTGCCTGGGGCCACAATCCGGAGGGCAATGTCAGACAACTCCTTTTTCTGCTCAGCAGAAAGGGCTGGGTACGAGTGGGGCATGGTGACAGCTCTGTGGAATAGAGACAAGATATAAAAGCTGGATCCGACCTACCACCTCTTCTGCTTCTTCTCCTGGCCATATGGGCCAAATGGCCTACCCCCACCTCCCAACAAGCATGGAGCTAGGAACAAGGCAGTAGTCCTTGGCATGGGTCCTGGGCAACACAGTGGCACCAATCCCTCTGACGGCTAGCAGGCTTAGGGCCCCAGTTCCCACATCTCCTTTTGTCCTTGGTGGGCACCCTTCCCAGCCCTGGGGAAAGATGCAGGATGGGGGTGGGGAGGTGAACAGCCCTGAAGCTACAGGTCTTCTTGTGAAACTACTGCCCAAACAAAGATCCAGTCCTTCTTTCACTGAATTTGGCCCCTTCAGGTAGGGCATAAGCCCTGGCCTTTCCAATTTCCATGTTATCCTCTTCAGCAGGGCACCTAGGGAAAGCATACTTCCTTCCAAGCCTTCAGAATGAGGCAAAAGTATCTATCACCCTTCTTCCCTCAGCTTCTGGAGGAAAAGTGGGGGACAAGTGGGGACCAGAAGTGGCACAAATAACTGCCATAGGCTTCTGTAACCTCTTCTTTCCCATACCCCAACCCCGACAGGCTTTGCAGCGAGATGGGAGCAGAGGAAGGAGCAGCGAGACCTGTGGGGAGGTGACAGAGAGACAGGCTAACTAGCAGCGGGGGGGGGGGGAGACCTAAACCAGGAGAACAGAGGAGGCAAGACAACTGGACAGGGAACTTAACCTAGGAGAGGGAGCAGGCTGAGATGAAAATGGGCTGGGTGGGAGAGGCTGACCCCCAGGAAAAATCCATTAGGCAGAGGAAGACTTGGAATTAGAAAAGCTGAGGTCCGGGCATGAGAGCTAAGAGTAAGGGGTACTGTGGGAGAGGCTGAACCACAAGATTTCTGACTGGACAAAAAGGAGAGAGGATTAAGAAGAGAGCTGAGAAGGCACATCCAAGGACCCTCGGGAGCAGGGCCAGGGTGATAGAGGGAAGAGTCAGGGAGAGGAAGGGGAGATGCTGAGCAGCTCCCGCCTCGCCCGAGGCCTCACCTGTGTGCTGCGAGGTGCGCAGCCAGTTAGCGGAGGCAGCCACAGGAGCAGCGCGGATCAGGTCAGGTCGGCAACAGCTGTGGCTGTAGCTCAGGCTCCTGTAAATGAGGCTGCGGATGCCGCAGAGCTACGTGACTCCCCCGAGGGGCGGGCACATCCCCGCCCTGGCCACGCCCCCTCCCCGGACTGGTGACCCAGCAGAGCCACGCCCACCGAGGCAGGGCGACGCGGTGGAGTGACTACCCAGCCAGGTTTTAGGAGGCTGTTGTCCCCCTCCCACCTCCCCAGTAGCAGGGCCCTCCCACCCCCACCCCCACCCCACCCCCGCCGGAGGCAGGAAATGGCCTTGCCCTCATTTCTGCCACAGTCGCCTTTACCGTGTGCTGGGCACTGGGCTGGATGTTGGGGACTGAGCCTGGTCTGGTGAAGGAGGGTCACCTAAAGAGTCACAACTGGTGGGGTAAAGAGACAGAGGCACCAACAAAGTGTGATAGTCCGGGGCAGGGAGTAGGAACTGATTTTCTCTGTCCTCACCCCCTTATTTACCAGATCCTAGCCTAGAGGGGGATGGAGAAGGTAAGAGAATGAATCCTTGTCTGTCCTGCCCGCAGGCTAAGAGCCAGGGAACAAGCAGTCCAGTGCCCAGAGTATCTGAGGAAGCAAGAGAAGGGAGGAGGAGGAGCCAACTTTGGCTCTGAATGCAGCGGGAGGGCTGTATGGAGGGTGCCCAGGCAGGACTGCCAACAAGCTTCTCAAACCTCATCCACCCCCCACCCCCAAAAAATAGGATTCAGTGAACTTGAAGAAATACATTAAATATATTTTATTTAAATAGCATTAAACATAGCTAGCTCTTTGTCCATTGGTCCTGGTGTTGGGGTAAGGGAGTATTGCAGGTAAAAAGGGGTGAAAAACAGATTCCAGCTTTCAGCTTCTTAGCTCAGAAATTCCAGCAATCGCTGTAGCTCCTTGCAACCCCTCACAACCTCTGGGATGGACTGCAGAGTCTGGGAAGAAGCATAAAAGGCATCTCAGGGTCACAAGTCCAAGGCTCCCAGCCCCAGGAAGCACCAACTGAGTCAGAGGGGAGAAAGCAGAAGCCACAGAGAAGCCTGCAACAGTGAGTCAGGCCCAGTGCTCAGCACAGGCTGGGAACCAGAGCGATGCTCATGAGTACTTCCTGGGGCCAAGCCTATGCCAGGTGCCTTAGCTGCATCAACTCCCTCCCTCCTTTACCTCATAAATATGCTGAACAATGTCATCTAGTTTCTTTAACTCCTTGTCAGAGCGCCGAAGATTCTCCTCTAGTATGTTTCTCTAGAAAACAAACAGGCTGCATTAAGTCCTACACTCAGAAGAACAGCATAGCTTGTGCAGCAAGGAAAATATGGCAGAGCACTTGCTAGTAGTAGTGGGAAATGGCCCTAGAATGGCATGGGAATTCTTACATGGCTCTGGAACTTGACCATGAGTTTTGCCTTCTCATTTTTCATCTCTAGGAACATCACCCTCAACTTGTCCACCTGTAGATATATCCAGATCAGTAGAGGCACAACCTAGGGTTCCCGCCAGCTGCCCAGCTCCTCTGCTAACTCTGAGTCACCGCTCACCTCTTGGGAGAGCCACACTTTCTCCTGGATCCAGTTAGTGGCCATAGGCTGACAGTCAGGGTTCAGCTGACCTGCCAGGGTCTCTTGCAGCACCTTAGTCTCTGTCTCCGCACGCCGAAGTGAGCGGGTGAGCTGGGTCACCTCCTCTCTAAGGCTCTGGGGATGAGAATGGAGAGGTATCCGGTAGCTCTCAAAGGGCCTCTCCACCCTTCTTATCCCATGTGGTGAATAAGGGTAGACCAGGGATCCAACTCCCACCGAATCTGAGATTCTAGCCATCAGAGACACAGAAGGCAGAGGGCCAGGCATCATAGTGAACGTACTATGAGCTCGCCACTCCTGTCTATCTGCTCTAGGATCTTCTCGTTCTGCTGTTGTATCACTTCCTGGAGCTCCTTTTCATTCTGTGAGGGAAAGAGAGGTAAGAAGCACTGAGAGAGCTGGCTTCTTAGCAGCCCTTGCCAGGAGATAGGATTTAGTGTCTGACCCATGTTCAGCTCCAATAATACCAATTGATAACACTCCATTCTTCCTCTAGGGCTATGTCAGGCAAGGCACATTTCAGTGTTGAGAGAGTTCTGCCAGAGTTCCTGACTTCTAGGTCAGCCTGGGAGATGGGTCAGCCCATAGCTAATTCCCAAACCTGTGAAATGTCTGACCCCAGGAAGGGCAAAACTAGGGCGATGATTGGAAAATCCCCACCACCCAGATTCCTGGAGAGACCATGGCTCCCAGTGGGCCAGTAGAGCTGCCCCAGTTCTTCATCGCCCCACTTCTAGGCCCCTCCTTCACCTTGTAGCGCAAGCACAAGGCCTGGTTCAGCTTCTCTATGTCTGCCTCCTTTGCCTTCTGGGCTTCCTGATGCTGTTCTTCCTGGGCCTGTAGCCTAGCCTGCAGATCACAACTAGGGGAGGGAATAATTCCACATTATTTCTGTCCTCTCAGGCGCTGGCTGGGCCCTTGACATAAGGAGTGTCTCACTTGACCTGCCTTCTCTAATCAAGACTGCCCTCCACTCACATCTTTCGCTGCAGAGTCCTGATGGCTTCTTCTTTAGACTCTTGCAGCAGGGAACACAGGCTTTGAAGCTCCAGAGTCATTGTACCCATTTCTGCCAGGCTCTTCTCCATGCCGGGGATCTCTGAAAGAGCAAGTCCTAGCTAGAGGCAGAGCCCTTTGGCTCTGGACAGAAGAAGTGTGTGTAGCCGTCATCACCACAACTCTTATCCATGTTCCCCACCCATACGATTTGAATTTCTGGAACACTGTAGATCCCAAAAGGCAGAAATAAAATAAGCCCACATAAAATTGAGGTTTTTAGAGCAAATTACTTCTCACTGCTTTACTCTTTATCATTAGTACCAGATCTAGAAATGAGGCAGGATCCCTGGAGCCCATCCTAACCTGTAGGCTGAAGGGAAACCATTGATGCTACTCGGGTGAAAGCACTCTTGTCACTTCCAAGCAAGGGCACAGGAGCTGCTTCTGGCTCTAAAACAAAAACCAACCAAGGTAGAGGGTCCCACTGGTGACCCGGTCAAGGGTCTGTCATGACAGAAGCCAGGGAGAGAGAAGTCTGCTGGTGGGCATCTTCAACAGATGAAGATAGGAGGGGCAGGGCCACAACTCTCCCGCCCTTAAATCCCAGGGCCTTTAACCTTCATCTGCCATTGCTGTCAAGACGCTTCCCAAGAAGGCGCTGTCAGTAGGCAGAGGGTATTCCTGGGCAGGAGCACAGGCTGTGCTTACAAGGGGGGTCTCTGGTTCAGCCTAAGGGTAAAGGAGAAACATGATCAGCTGCTCTTCAGGGTTAGTGATTTCCTGAACTTCCAGGTACCCACCAGCCACCTCCTCTGGAAAGCTGTTCTATCTACTCCCTTTTTTCTCTATCAGCACCTTCTCAATTAGCTCCTTTCCCTGAACTTAATTCTCTCACTAAAATAACAACAATTAAACACAGAAACCTTCTTAACTTAAATCCCATTTTTAAGCTGCCTTTTCTCTTTCCCCTCCGGATTAAGAAAAAGATAAAGAAGCCTACATTTCCCGCCTAAAATTGTCACCATCTATTGACTACCTAGCCCCCTACACTCAAGTCTTCTGCCTCGCCATTTCACCAAAACTCTTGCTTGGTTCACCAATAGCATCCTTACTTTCAAATTCAACAGACACGTTTCAGCTCTTGTTTTACCTATTTGATAATCAATGACCATGTTCTTCTTTTAGAAACTTCCTTTTCTCAGCTTCTGGAACATGACTCTTTCCTTCATACGCAGGCCTCATACCTTTCTATTTATTCTCTCTATCCACAGGTCCTTCCTTAAACTGTTGGACTCCTGGTTCATCCTTGGCCTTCTTTATACTCTAATCCTTTCCCCAGGTGGCCTTGCCTTGGAAACTCCACAAAAACATCCACTACTACGTGGATGACCTTTTAATCTTTCTCTCTCAAGTGTATTATTTTTCCAATCTCCAGACCAAAAGGCTCAACTGCCTGTGAAAAATCTACCAGAATGCTCCATAGTTCACCTGAAATGTAATATGTATAAGGCTGACCTCCCCATTTTCCCTGTCCCATCACACCAAAAATCTATTCCTCCTCCTGTATTTACGATCCTAGGACCGGGGGATTGGGAGGGCAGCAAATGACAGCCTGCAGTTCAAATCTGGCCTGCCACCTGTTTTGGTAAATAAAGTTTTATTGAAATACAGCCATACACATTTATTTACATACTGTCTATGGCTGCTCTTGAGCTACAAAGGCAGAGTTGAGTAGTTAAGACTGTGACAACATGGCTCAAAAAGCTGAAAATATTATATTGTATTTTATAAGAAAAGTGTGCCACCCCGAGTTCTAGAAAGTATCATCATCTTTCCAGCAATCTAGAGATCATCATTTACTTTTCCACCTTACTCCTACACCAAACTGGTCACCAGGTTCTATTACTTCTATTTTCTAAGTACGTATTGAATTCACCCAGTCCACACTTTCCTGTCTACCCCTTCCATAACTGCCATTAGTTCAAGCCTTCAGGCCTCCTGTCTACTTCTCTAGTCTTGTCTCCTTGTCATTCTTGCCCCATATAGCTCCTATACTGAAGAGCTACTTCCCAGACCCCAAACTTGCCAAATTCCATATGAGCAGGGCCTTGCCTTGTTTACCTGTAGCCCCAGCACCTAACCCAGGTCATGTTACAAGGTAGACACTACAAAAAAGTACACACAGTGCCTCTCTCACTTTCATAGACCATTCCCTTTGCCTAGTACACCTTCCTATATAACCCCGCCTCCCCACCCTGCCCTACAAACTTCCAAACCTCAAGACTCTGCCCAAGGATCACTTGCTTTGAGAAGACATGCTAACTCTCAGAGGTATAACTGATGCTTTCTCCACACAGACCTCTATCATGATCACAAGTCAAGATGTCAAGTTTATACCTGTCTTCCCTGCAAGACTATGGATTCTTTCACGTTTCCTGTGCTCAGCATACACTAGGGTCAGATCATAAGCACTTCCAAATTTCAGGACCCTGGTTGTACCTC